GGGACCTGGCCAGCATCTGATTGCGGGTCCAAGACGATGGAGGTGTTTCTCCGAGACGGTTGAGATTCCGATCAACTCTGCTCGGCGCTCCGAAGGCAATGAGAGGATCCAAAGAAGATCTGGGTGCACAAGTCTCGAACCTCTCTTGCTGCTGATGGTAGTCGATGAGATTGCAAGGACCACTGCTTGGTTGAGGTGGCACAAAGGATTCAGCCAAAACGAGGGGACCCTTTTTCTCAACTTGTTCACGTTCATCCCAAAAACACACACAACCAGAAAAGACATGTTCACTAAAAGGTTCAGGATCACGATCAATCACTCGGTGCGAAATCTCTCGAGGTGTCGAATCTACACAGCTGTATCTACCATCGCCCCCAGGACCAAGTGCTGTCAGTCAATCTCTCCTGGAAGGGAAATGTCCCTATTCAAAGCAAAAAAGACAAGAAAAGACAAAAAGAGCCGGTCCAAGGGAGAGCTCAGGGCCATGATGTCACTGGCCAATGGAAACACTTGGCGCCCTGAGGGAGCACGTTCAAGAGCAATCACTTTCGTCGGGCCAACGGCCTTCAATACCATTTGGTCGTGCTCAAAATCGATCACTGCCTTTAGCGACCGAAGAGCGGACGCTGCAAGTAAAATTGGTTGACCTTCAATGTCATGTACGTGAACCTTCATTGAACCGGCACCCTGGTTCAATGGAACTTTCAAGGTTGTTGTGGAAAGACATTTTGTCTTGCCATTGTTGCCAAAACGAAACTGAGGTTGTTCCTCAGGAGATAGCAGGGATCAAAGCGGTTCTCATGTAGAAGTTCCATAGCGGCCACTGAACCTACGGAGCTGGTTGCTCCACCATCGATTATGGCCTTGCCCTCGGCCATAATCTGATGCAGCGAGAGTCCGTAGTCTCGGTATCATCGATGTTCGCTGTGACGGCCGTAGCATTTGGCTTCTGGACGCCTGTCAGGGTGAAGGCCAGGTGTGCTGAGCCACTGTGAGATGTCTGTGAGCCTTGTGTGCACTTGCTTGTGTGATGCGAGCCGCCGCATTTGAAGCACTTGGGAGTGTATGTAGAGTCACTCCGGGCCTTTGCAGAGGGCACCATCACGCTTGATGGGATAGAACTGTCGGTTCTTCAGATAAGTGCTTTGGCGCTCACGAGCATCTTTTAAAGTCCTTTTGGCCTGATGGAAGACTTGAAGAGCATGGTCCACGTCACTGCAGAGGAGGCCATACTCGCCTTTCTCTTCATCAGAAGGGAGCCCGAAGAACTCCGAGTCAGACTCTTCCTCATCCTGTTGGAGCAATATGTCCTTGGAGTCATCCTCGTCAAGAGCCAAGGCCGTGCCTCGGTTCTGATCGCGACGACGAAGGTCATCTTCTGGCCAAGCGAGCTTCAATGCCTTCTTCACGTTGTCAGTCGTGAAGATGTTGCGAAGGCTTGCAATGATGGTTCCACGTTCAGTGCTGTCCAATCCGGAGCGTTGAAGGAGTATCCATGCCACCACAAAATCAGGAAGGAAGCGGTCAGCTTCTGAGGAGGCGGCACTGGACACGTCATACTTAGTCATACTTGGCCGTCAGGGACGACGGGATAGATGTGACCAACAGTCCTGATTTTTCCACCAGCCACTGCGCCAGTTTTGCCATTGATCATGTCGCCAGGACCACTCAGACTCCTGTCCATCCCCAGGGTGCGAGATCTCTTCTCGCAAGCGCCCATCTTCATCAAACGGCGCGTCACTATGGTGCTCACGGGAGGAGAGATGATCTTCCAAACCTGCACCCGACTGCACAGCTGAGAGGGGCTTGAAGGAACCTGCATTAGATACGCCTTCGTGAGAAGACGTCTCTCCAAACAAATCTCCATACTCTTGTATTGCTTCTGCCAGCGTTCGTCGGGCCTCATAGAGAGACTCATCGTGACGAACCACCCACAAGCATTCATAGATTCACCCTTGCGACGCTTGATGGTGTAGAAGAAACGAGAGATCATCTTTCCAGCTTCTGCGAGTGTAGGAGCTTGGACTTTTGTCTTCAAGAAGTCTAGCAGCATTGTGGCACCCTCCTGATGACTAATCCAGCCAGGCGTCTTATGCTGCACAGCCACACGAGCAGAGCCTTCCAAGGCTGCTTGAAGCCTAGGGCCAGCAAGCGATCTTTTCTTCCACTCCAGCGTCTCCACATAGTTGAGAGCCGCGCGCCGAAACGGCGCGTATAGCTCTGAGTTCCCATCGAAAATGGGCACGCCATCCTTGCTTTAGCGCAGTTCAGACATGATGTCACTGCAAGTAGCCCCACGGTCTACTTGAAGCCGTGAGGCTCCGCTACCATGCGAGAGCCACGACACAAGCGAACCTCGCACGAGCACGGATGCCTTTTCATCCAAATCAGAGGGTGCTCGAGTAGATCAGGTGGCAAACGGACGTAGGACATATGGAAACTGGAATTGTCAAATTCGCACTCAGTATATGGTTCAAGAAGAACTGTCCTTTACCTCTTACAATCTGTTGTGACTTCAACAGTCGGGACATTCCCAAATGAATGTGCTTGACCACAAGGATTTCTTCCAAGTTGTGGCACCTTTTCGTTCTCACCACATTTTGCCCAGTCGTTCGGCGGTTTCTCGTCGGGCCCTGCCTCTTCATGTCCCTAGGTCTGCTCTCTGTCGGAGGCTCTTGAAAGATCTCGAAATATCTCGAAGTAGAACAATGATTGAAGGCTGGCAACATTTCATATTGGGTTCCTCCTGTCTTGCTTTAACTTCAATGTCCTGTTTCAACAAGCTGTTCTAATTCTCAAGATTTTCTCTTGGTTAATCAGTTGGATCCTAGATCTTGACATTCTTAAGAATGCAAAAAGAAGAAACGACAATTCTTACCCAAGAATACAAGGACTAGACCGGAGGCAACAGGAATGATTGCCCTCTTCGTTGAGGACAAAAACAGAACGGGAGTGTGGGATTGACCAGCTTCACTATGTGGCGAATGACCAATGTGGTGCGTGCATCGATTTTTATACACATAAACTGGACTATACAACAATATAGCGATAGAGACAACGTGGACCTTCAGTACCGGACTCTTTCAGGCTCCATCATACCCGGCGCCCTGAGTCATTACCGACATCACGGGGAGACACTCGATCCGTCCCATGGCTCCTTGATTGCCACCAGTGCGTGAATCTTCAAACCGTAGATCGCATCACCCAATGCCTCGCCAGACACTCTCACTTCTGGAACAAGTCCAAAGGGATTCCAGCTTCTTGTGCGGACCGGAGTAAACAACAAAGGAAGGAAAACTGTGATGTAAAAAACATCTAAGAACACAAAACCATGAAACCAAATGACAATCCAATGTCTTGGATTTGGGATTGAAACAGGGCGACAGCCGGTGAAACAGTAGCAAAATGCGCTTGATTGTTTTGGGGCCTGCAACTCGAACCAGCTCATAATACAAAGATGGTGTGTACATGGTAAAACCCATGTGTACTGCACTGCCCATCACCACTCCATAATTTCACGGTCACCTTAAACCACTGCAGGCTAATGTACTAATATCTAAATCTATAACTTGTTACCCACGGCCTCGCGGTCATTCCCCAAGGCTGCCAAGACCATGTCAAAGGATTTGCGTAGAACCGTGGCTTCGGTCGAAGACCTAGAGATTCGCTGCGCCGCTGCATGTTTTTGGGGCCCTCCTCTCAAGGCCCCAAGGAGAGTCCAGAAATTTCAAAAGCATTCGGGCCCCCTCTGAGAGTACATGTCAAAAGCATAGAGAATCACATAAGGCTGATGGAGTCAGCTGCAAGATGCTGCAAGTGCAGTTGCTGGACACCAGTGAGCGGGGATTGTTCATGGTCGTTCCATGATGCCTGAGCCCCCCGACAAGGCCAGCTGATTCATCGTCTCGCCGAACCCCGCTGCCCCGTCACCGACTTGTTCCTTCCCTCGGCCGATCCAGGTCGGAGCCCTTGGGGTCCAAGTCGGTCCAATTCTCCCAAGGTTTCCAAGGGAAGTCTAAAGCAATATATATATATATATAAATTCTCTGAACATGATTTGTTATCTTTTACCCGCTGGAATTTTGGACATCACATGTCACATGCAGCACAAAACTATGATGACACGATGTGATAGGCCTTCGGCTGGTTTCGAACCCTGTATAGACCCTTATCTTATAGCCCTTGTGGCAGGCATCCCTTTTTTGACAAACACTTCCTCTGCTACGCTTCAAAAGGATTCAGAACGCCCTCATTCTCCCGTGCTCGCCCTAGCTGGCCTTCGGGATCAATGCCGGCACCAAAATCCGAGTCCAGAGCATCACTCACTGCCTCATCCACCACGGACAGTGTCTCATCATCTGCACCACCGGCGGCCACCGTCTGCAAGACTTCCGTAGGTTCTCGGGAATCTTGCTCCTCGCCGGCAAGGAAGCGGGGACCAACTTTATGCTGTTAAGATTGCGGTAAGAACTGTTGTCAACTTTCCCATGACGTGGATAGGCTTAGAAGTCAAACACTCCGGCATCCACAAAATGTGGGACTCCACTTCATCCGGGAACAAAAGGCAAAACATACCACAAAAACATTGAATCAACTCAAGTGACTGGTGATGGTCCCGCAGGCAAATGTAGGCAAATATGAATGCCATTGCGGCATTGTTCTGAAAAAATGATTCCTAGCGATTCATAACATACTAGACTAATCATACCATTCGCAGGCTATACTTGGTTGTCTTCGATATTCTGATGTCATGGCCCTTGCTTGCCTACAAAGGTGCACACACAAACTCGAGATATTGCGCCTCATGTCACACGCCCACCTAGGCTTGAAAGCCCAAGAGGCCAGGTTAAAGGTATGTATATAAGGCGGTTTGACCATGAACCTGAGAAGACACCTAAAAGTCGAGCGGCGAGCACTTGTCTGCAGAACTCAAACCCATGCAATGGCCAGCCACTTGTTCTAGTGACAATGGGGTAAATACGGCAGGTGCATCCGGCTGATGAGGCCAGATATCAGCACGGAGTTTGACCCTCTTCGCTGGATCACCAGTCAAGTCCGTGGGTGATCCCCCTGCCAAAAAATTCATCGCGATCAAAGGACTCCCTGTCACTCCAAGGGTTTCACACACCCGCCTCCCACAAGGGGAGGTGCGGAAAAACTAAGGTTAAAACAAATGTGCATGTGTGCCGTGCGCGCGCAGAACAGACAAACGGATGAGGACATCAAAAGAGGACAAGGCAGACCTGGTGTATGTGGTTGCAATGAAAAGAAACCAAGTGACCAGGGACAACCGATGAACCAAACCTTCTTGTAACAACCTGGGCGACCTCAAACCTGGACTTCAAGTACAAGTGCACACGTACACTAAGGGCCGGACCGTTGCATGCGCAAGAGAGAAAGGGAATGAGGTGCCAAAACATGAAGACAGAAAGACATTAATAGCAATAAAAATAATGTGTCTAACAGGGGAACAAAGATGAAAGGGGAACCAAATGGGAGGGTCGGAAATCGACGAAGCCAAACCGCATTAAGAGAACCGAGGGAGACCAAGCCTGGTTTGGTATGTGCGCGCCGCGTGTGCACTTAAGGAGTCAAGTCCGCGGGCGACCCCCCTGCAAAAAAAATCATCGCGATCAAAGGATTCCCTGTGACTCCAAAGGTTTCACACACAGACGCACACACTTCCCCAAGGAGATGAAATAACCCGCCCGTCTAATCCAAAAGAAAAGCCCGACACGCTGTGTATCGGTCCCATGGTCGGTCGAACGTCAGTCCATGTCAGTCCTGTGGGACTTCTTGGTCAACTGCGGGAGACTTCATCTCTCGTTACTTGAAATTCTGATCAAGTTTTCCCCGTGGAAAACGGCACGCAGCTGGTGCGATCAGTCAGCTTTTTGTTGAGTATCCGAAAAAGAACGGCTGCAGTGGCGGGCGATGCTCGCACAAACAAGGCATGGCCTAGGTCAATCTGCGGATAGCGGACCAAATGTCTGGCCCTTCCCTTGAGGCCATTTATGTGCCATGCCTTTATGATTGTTTGCTGCACATGCGAGGACAGGAAACTGATCAACAACCTGCCTCGAAGAGATCAACCCAAATCTTGCGATGCGCGGCCGCAACACCTTCGCAGCCTGTCACAACCGGACCCGTGTGCAACCGGGACTGTGGATTCCAAAGCTCTTTCGGGAGGTCTGTCGAGCGGCAACAAGATAAGACCCATTCCTTGCCATCACTTGGTGCCAGGAGTTGATTCAAATCCCTGGAATTCATGACCCACTTGTCCAAGAAGGAGCACTTTTGTGCCAAGCTACCCCTTTCAGTGCCCTTCAGTCTGAAAACGTATGGCAGGAACCATGGTAGCCATGGCAACTTTTGGAGCCCTCAAAGGCCTACGGGGGTACATAGTGTGCCCTTGCGGTACTTGGGTTTGGCAACACCGTGCCAAGGGTTCATGCCATGTTTCAAAAGCACAGCTGCTGGAACATGCTGGAACCATAAATGCGCTAAAGCAGAACCAAGCTTGTATAGTGCTGGCAACAGCTTTCTTCACCGATAAAAAACAAACGCTTGTCCAAGAAACTTGGCTCAAACTCCTGATGTCAAGCCAGCAAGCTGACAGGTTTTCTCCTCAGATTCAGGTAATAGCAGGCATGTGGGAGGTCGCTGCCCCATGTTCCACATCAAAAACTTCAAATCCTCATCACAAGCGTGAGGGGTAGTACGGGACTCGGTAATTGCCCTTGAGAAAAACTCGAAGTCCTCCTGACCTGTTGATCTCATGCTTAATTACCAAGTCCCCGAGGTTGCTTCTAAACGGGGAACAAGCTCGACAATGATTTCAAAGTCTTAAACCGGTGTAAACTCAGCATAGGGAGCATGGAAGGTGGCGATATGAGCTAAGCAGCTTGGCACAACGCACACCCTTCAACAAAAAAGGCCATGCATACGCATCATGAAAGCGTCGGTTGGAAGGCCTACTGTCCAAACCTCCGCTGCAAAGAAAGCAACCATCCACGAACCAGGGGTTCAATTTTGGGTAAGGATCCAAAACCAGACCCAGAACTTCTGCGCTGCTGGAAGTTCAAGTGGACTCCCTGGATGAGTAGAATGCTGTCAAAATGCCCCATGTGTTAACAGCAAATTCCGCTCTTTGCCTGCTCCTGCTCCCTGTCTAAGTGTACACCCGATCAGGCGGAGTGGTTTCTCAACGCCGAAGGAAGCAGGAAATCAATTTCTCTGCATCTCTGGAGGTGAGTGCCTCTTCAGGTGAAGTGCATCGAATTTAGTGGTATATATTTTCAGGTAACGAAGAAACGGACGTCAAAGCACGACCGCATCCCAATACCACGATTAGTGGTGGGGATTGACAACACTTGCTAGCTACGGAGCCTCGTTGTTCCAATGATAAACCAGCTGATTGCCACTGTCTGAACTCGGATGCAACGGTGCATAACTAACAAGTACATACATGTACATACATACCTCTTCTTTTGTTCGCCTCTTTCCCTTTGATGACTTCTTCTTAGATCCTTCGGGAAAAAGGTCGAGTCGGCTCCAAAATGATGAAAAAAATCCTCCACCAGCTGAGGTGCCTGAGGCATCTACCTCGACATCAGCTGTTGCGGGAGTTCTTCCATCAACGCTAGGGAGCATGCCCGCTCTCAATAGCGACTTTGATGAATTGGAAGGGAACCGGCCTGGACGGCATGTCTGTGATCGAAACCTAAATTCAATTTTGGCCTCACGGCCAGTGTGGGCTGGAATCCTCCATGTCAGCATGAAGTTCCACGTCGGAACAAGGGCGAATCGCTTCCGACAAGTCCCAGAAAGGAAGTTTCAACGGGATGCATGCAGCTCAGCATCTGACAAAAATGAGCGATGATGCAAATAAAACAACAGCACAAAGTATTCATGTGACCCATGCGTTCAATTTGCGCCGAGTCTTCGAGTGTTTTTTGCAGAACGTATCAGAGGTATCTTCACCATGTCTATGTTATATATTGGCTGCCCTTGGAAGATCCCAGCCACAAACACCACATGAAAGAATCTATTCCGAAGTTTCAATTGCTTCGCGATGGCTGTGCCAAAATCTTGCCCTATTCACTTCTGGTGCCCTGCAACCACTTAAACCAAGACCAACAATGGGGTGACTTTGATGAGGAAATGACTGGGCTACCAGGAATTGACTGCTCGTGCCGATCTGCTCAATCATCCTTCTGGTCACTGCTGTGGTGGCTGCTGCTCCTTGGTTGAGGTTGAGGGAAGCGCTGCCAACATTAATTAGGAATGCTGAGTGCTCGTTGGTGTTTGCAACATTCAATTGGAAGGACTTTGTTCGGCCTTCCTGGAGGGGGCCCCTGCTAGCTTTGGGTAGAGCAAACATGGTGCAAGTTTCTGAAACGCCCAGTGGATTCTCGATTCCCAACGATCCCAACAAAGCATCTCCGCCCTTTGGATCAATTTGACAAAGCCAAGCTTCGTATCGTGATCGCTGTTCAAGCCGGTGCTGATGGTACTCGCTCCACCCTTCTTTCCACTACTACCCAGCATCTTGTGCAGCGACTTCTGAATCCTTGGGCCCGACAAAGGGGGCCATCAATGGACTCAGATCCAACCCTTGCCCGAGCGAATAGCAGGTAACGGTGAGGAGATTGATGATGATGATGATGATGATAAGGGCTACGTGCTCAGGCCCTTGAACCCAGGGCTAGTGTGGACATGCGGATTTGCACCCCATTGTCTTCATTGTGAATGCCATCCACCAGATCTCGGACGAGCTCGCTTACCGGGTCAACTGTAGCCTACCTGCAGGACAACAAGAACGACCCTGAGCATCGAATATTGATTACAATCAATATTCTCAAACCCCTTTTGATTTAGCTTCAAAATCAATATTGGAGAATTTTTTGATTTTGAAATCAATTGTAAAAACTAGTAGGAAGAAACACCAAAATAATCAATATACAAAAACACACGAGAAAAAGCAAAAAAACAATATTATCAAACAAATCAAACAGGTCCCAGCCCTGCCCAGGCCCTGCTAGCACTCTCCTTTTTTCCATACCATTTCTATCTTCATCTAGCTCTTTGGCCAGGCTCATCTGCAGAAAGCATGTCCCTTTTTCAAGGTTCATGCATGAATTAAGATGCACATCTTTTTCAAGGTTCCTCTTTTCAAGAGTCTTTGGACTGATCCCACTTCTTTTTCAAGCTTTCATCACAGGCTTGCTTTTTCAAGCTTGCTCCAGGCCAGAGGCTTAATTGCACTTTTCAAAAACCTCAACCCAAACCTTTTTTCAAGGATGGTTGGGTCTGTCAAGGTTGCAGGAGGCCTCCTTTCTCAAGGGTCAATCTGCCTCGATGCCAACTCCATCCCTTCTCTTGTGAGAAGAAAATGAAGCAGGATGCGGTATTTTGATGCAACCTTGACACTCAACCTTGTAGAAGATACACCAGGGCTCACACTGGATGTGAGCAAGAGAAAGTACAGTGGGTTTTGGGGTTGAGGTATTTTTAGTTTGCAACCAAGTGCTGAAATGTATGGCATTTCATCACTATGTTGAAAAGCTTTCTTCCCTTTTCAGGTGCCCAAGCAGACGGAAGGGCATAGTAGTCACTGAACCCTTTTTCAAGGGACATGGCTTTATGCCATTCAGCTTCTGTCAAGAATGCATCTGCCTCATCAAAGAGCTTGATGAGTTTTGACATGCACTGCATGGCCTGGAGCATGGCCTTCTCTTCTGCAACCCCTTCATCCAACAATGCCTTGCATACTGGCAGAAAGGCATGCAGGATGTGCTTGGTTTCTGCAACTTTCAAGTCCAGGTGGGCAAAGCTTGCGTGGGGTTGCTTGGATTCAGTGATCATGCTCAACCTGAGGTTGGTGACCCTGGTCGGTGAAGATTGCCTCACATATTCTCTTTGGATGGCTTCAAGCATGGCTCCCAATCTCTTTTCTGGGGCCACTGCTTGAACCTTACCAGGGCTATCGCGCCAACACAGGTAGTGCATGATGCTGCCTAGGAAATGTCCTAGGGCACCTTTGCAAAATAGTATGTGGAGACAATCTCCCCTGACCATTTTGGTCAGCCCTCCAATCACTCCAGAAAAGAGGGGGTGATTGCTCCTGGGGTGCTCATTGGACACCATTGTGAAGCCTTGTTTGCCTTTTTCAAGGGTTTTGTACCAAAGCTTCACTGTTTTTTTTTGGGCCCCTTTTGGGCATCACACTCCCAACAGGGGTAGTGTGATGCCCAATGAGGAAGAAGCAATGCATTGGAGAAAAACTAATGATCTCCTTGAATGCACCAGAGCACCCCTTTCAGCCCATTGCACAGGGGCTTTCCTTTTTCAAGGTAGAAGGGAGAATCCTTTTTCAAGGGGTTGCCTGCAGGGTCATGAGTTGGACGCAACCCTTTTTCAAAACTATGCACATATACCTTTTTCGGGCATGCACTTGGTACAAAACTGTGTCAGCTTTTTCAATCTGAGCTATTTACTGGCCTTGCTCAAGGCCTTCATGCTGAGCTGCACCAAC